ACTTCTTTATTGGCCAAGTGTGATTGGACACACAAGGAATTTGTCTTGGTGCAAATGCTCTCAGTGCGCATAAAAGAAAAAATACATTCGTCAAGAGTCAAGAATCATAAGGTACAACACTTAATAATAGTCATAGGGTACAATAAAAGCAATCAAATCATACTAGGAAGCAGTCCATATAAATTGTAACCATTAACTATTTCAAGATTGAATGGTTGGACTCTCTTTGCTCTTTGTTCACCTTACCTCGGTTAAACGCCTGTTTGTATGAAGGGTGGCCTTGTGGACTTAAAAGGAGGGGGTGGTGAAAGTGCCCCTCCCTTTTCACAATGGACTGCAGCTGGATGCGCCTGCAGGCTAAAGAGCTTCCCAGATTTGGGCATTTGGTTGAAACTAATTTTGCCAGCTTAGGGAATTTAGCAGAAGAGCACCTCCTTACAGATCTTACAGATTAATGGAGCTGGAAGGGACCTCTAGGTCATTTAGTCCAACCCCTCACCCCACCCCAACCAGGGAGGAGATCCTACACCATTTTTGACAGATGGCAGTCTAGTCTCTTCTTGAAAGCCTCCAGTGATGAAGCTCCCACAACTTCCAAGGCCAACTTCTGTTCCATGGGTTGATTGTTCTCCCTGTCAGAAAATTCCTCCTTATTTCGAGGTTGAATCTCTCCTTGTTCAGTTTGCATCCATTGTTCCTTGTCTGGCCTTCGGGTGCCTTCGAAAATAGTTTGATCCCTCCTCTCTGCGGCAGCCCCTCAAATATTAGAAGCCTGCTCTCCTGTCTCCCCTGGTCCTTCTCTTCCCTAGACTAGCCAGGCCCAGTTCCTGCAACCGTTCTGGATATATTTTAGCCTCCAGTCCCCTCATCACCCTGGTGGCTCTTCTCTGTACTTTTTCTAGAGTCTCCACATATTTTTTATAGTGTGTTGACCTCCCTTCCCCCTTCCTGGTTCCCTTCCTTCCCCCCAATATCTGGCTCTGGAACCCATTTAAGCCTTTATGACAAACCAACCTGGAGGGCTGGGGAGCATTTCGCTGCTTGCTTAATTCTATTCTGCTACAGAAGCTGCAGATGCTTTTAAATAAGATCCTTAATATGCAAGTTCCTTGGCCGTTTCCCCTCTTGCTGAATGATGCACTGCAGCTTCAAGAGGATCGGCCTATTATTGCTGAAATTAGCATCTTCCGTCCCTTGAATAATCCAAGGAAAGAATAAAGCGGTTTTCATCGGAGAACATCTTTTGTTGCATAAAAGCATTTGTGGCACGAGACACGATGCAGATGAATGCAGATTTATGAATATAGATCAACGAAGTCTTGTCAACTGGGAGGAGGCCAACTGTTCTAACCTGTTGAGTACAAAACTCCTTGGCTTCATTTTCTACTGGTATCTATGGTTACCTGAATTAATAGGAGGCCAGGTTTATGGACGCATTAATTTAAATCTTCTATTTTTAGAATGAAAAGATTTAAATGAGCAAATTAATCAGGCAAGCTTACAAAAACAGCTCCATGGATTTCAAGCAGCTCCTCCAGTAGTGCCTCTTTAAAAACCTGTGAAAACATTCTGCAGGTTTTGATGGATGGTCCGTTCTTGGGACACGTATTTATTTATTTTTCCCCCACCAACCAGGACAATAAGATGTAAAACCAAAGCTGCACCTTGAATGGTTGCTGGGGTGGATGGACACGCCAGAGAAAGTGTGTGTTTGTGTATGTGTGTATTTCAGCTGAAACCAGGTGAAGGGAGACCACACAATGCACACAGGAACATGACGGTTTTGTGTAACGTTTAGGAAACTCGCATTCGTCCTGTGGAGAAAGAGGCCGGGGGAAAGGCCAACCTTTTCTCCGTGATCAACCCTGAGCCCGGCGAGGCCGCAGCTCGGATTTTCCAAGCAGAAAGCCAGCAGGATCTTGGCAAGTGGATGGAAGCTTTCTCGCAGCACTTTTTGGATTTCAGTAAGTTGGCTCTTCCTTGTTCTCCTGGTTGGAGGAAAGTGCAAACACCTACGGTTGCCTTTGCACAACAGCCCCAACATTTGCAAAAGCCAACCCCCCCCCGCCCAATCTTTCCCACAGCCATAATGAAATCTGACAAAACTGGCAGAATCTGGCTTTATGCAGGCCCCCTCAGAGGGAGGGCCCGAAAGCCCAAATAGCAATAGCACTTATAACTGCTTCACAGTGTTCTTTTTTTAAAAAAAAAATTTTTATTGGTTTTTTAAACAAACATAAACAAACAAAACATAAAAATATCAAGTCATCTTCCATATATGTACATACAGTGTACCAGTTGGTTTACAGATTGTTTTGTGCTTCCATTTTATAGTCTTCAATTATAATTACATTGTATATAATCTTGTATTTTCAATCAAATATTAAATACATTAATATCATTATTAATCAGTCATTTGACTATACCTTTATTCATTCGTGTTTTCCGAAATGATCATATTTTACTTAATTTGTTTTATGACAATTCAGATTATCATCCCAGATCCCAATGCCACCTGTAAAACATCTTATACAAATTTTCTTTATATGCTGTTGACATTGTCATTTTATAATTTTGAGACCACAATTTTTGCCATTTCTCTAGATCAATCCCATATCCAAAATTCTTCCCCCAAGCAATCATAGTTTCTTTAACTTGTTCCTCTTCTAGTTTAATTTCTAATAAATATCCATACAATTTTTAAATCACCTTTTCATCAGTACCTGTCAAAATCTTATCTGTCAGTCAGTTTATCATAGAAACCTTCTGTTTTAGAATCTTTATCATACCTTGAATGTATTTGCGCATATGGAAGCCAATTCATCTTTATACCTTCTTCCTCTACTTTGAAGATGCAAATAAACCAGGTACATGGTTAGCATATAAATTAAGAAAGGAGAAAGAATCAAGGAAAATATTGCAATTAATAGATGACCAAGGCCAAGTTTGCTATGGTAGTAAAGAGAAGAAGGAAATCATTCGAGGCTATTATGGGAAACTATACACACAAGAGAATATTGATGAGGAAAGAGTTAAACAGTACTTACAGAATGCTAATTTACCCCAGATACCTAAAGAGATTGAAACAATGTTAGAAAGCAATATAATGATGATGGAGTTAACTGAAGCACTCAAGAAGCAAAATAATGGAAAGGCACCAGGCCCAGATGGACTTCCGGCATAATTTTACAAAACTTTACAAGAATCGTTGAATCTTCCATTGCTAGAAGTTATGAATGAAGTTATGTTAAAGAAGAGGATACCTAAATCATGGTCAGAAGCTTATATCACACTTGTTCCAAAAGAGGAGACCGATCCATTACAAATCAAGAACTATTTCCCTACTAAATGCAGATTATAAAATATTTGCTTCAATATTGGCAGAAAGACTTAAAAATACTTAAATAATTTTATCCATCCTGATCAAAATGGATTTCTGCCAAAGAGACAAATTAAAGACAATAAGAGAGTAAACTTTGGAATACTACGAGGCACATCCTGAAAAACAAATGGCTTTGATATTTCTAGATGCACAGAAGGCATTTGATAATGTGAATTGGCGATTCATGTTATTACTGCTGGAACTGATGGGCTTTGCTAGAAAATTTATTCAAGCAATAGAAGCTATATATCATAAGCAGACGGCAAAGGTAATGATAGAGGGAGAACTGACAGATTCTATCAATATAAGAAAAGGAACAAGACAAGGGTGCCCACTATCACCTCTGTTCTTTGTGTTAACTTTGGAAGTGCTAAATAGAAATATTAGAGATGAAAAGAATATAAAAGGGATGAAAATTAAAAAGGAAGAATTTAAGTTGCAAGCATTTGCAGATGATCTGGTTTTTATCTTAGAAGACCCACTAGAAACAGCATCAAAATTGATAGAAAAGATAGAGACATGGAAAGGTGGCTGGTTTGAAAATAAAGATAAAACAAAGAATATGCTATCAAGACAAAAGGAAGAACTGGCAGACCTGTTGAAAATTCAGGTCACGAATAAGATCAAGTACTTGGGGATATACTTGACAGCAAGATGTAATACACTAAAAGAGAATAATTATATCAAACTTAAATAGCAGATAGCGCTAGATTTGGCGAAATGGGAAAATTTACAACTGTCATTAATAGGGAGAATATCAACAATCAAGATGAATATATTACCCAGAATTTTATATTTGTTTCAAACAATTACAATTAGGCTTGGAAAGGACTACTTTGAAGATTTAAATAAAATTGTGTTGAAATATATATGGCAAAGTAAGAAAGCGAGAATAAAGCTAAAACTTTTGCAAGATGCTAGAATAAGAGGAGGATTTGGTTTGCCTAATTGGGAGTTGTATTACCAAGCTACAAATTTAATGTGGGTTAAGGAATGGATAACATTAAGAAATACTAGATTGTTGACATTAGAAGGACATGATCTGTTGTTGGGGTGGCATGCTTTTTTATGGTATAAAGGAATTAAAACACAGGGGTACTTTAGAATACATTATATACGGGGGTCTCTGTGGTTAAACTGGGAGAAGATTAAAAGACAATGTTATTTGAAAATTCCAGTCTGGCTATCGACTATTGAAGAATTTTCTTATCCTATAATATACAAAAAGGAAGAAACAGATATGGTGAAATATTGAATGAAAAGGGTGAACTTAAATCCAGAAAGGTCAGCAGTTTGGTGGTTCGAATCTCTAGCGCCGCATAACTGAGTGAGCTCCTGTTACTTGTCCCAGCTTCTGCCAACCTAGCAGTTCGAAAGCATGTAAAAATGCAAGTAGAAAAATAGGGACCACTTTGGTGGGAAGGGAATGCCTTCAGGCATTTACTCATGCCGGCCACATGACCATGGAGATGTCTTCGGACAGCGCTGGCTCTTCGGCTTTGTAACAGAGATGACCACCACCCCCTAGAGCCGGGAACGACTAACACGCAGGTGCGAGTGGAACATTTACTTTTAAGAGATGACCACCGTAGGGAGTTTCGTTTTACCCGTCAAGCATAAAAACAGTGCAATTATAAAAACGGTGATACACGTTTTTACGGGGGAAATGCCTCTTCTGAAACAGAACTGTGTTGGCTGCATTTGATGCTAGTATTTAAAAACGGAGACTCTGAACTCGGTCCCTTTCCTGATTTCCTTCCAGGTCAGTGGAAGCACTGCTGCGAAGAGTTCATGAAGATGGAGTCGGGGTCCCCTCAAAAGCCACCCCTGTTCTTGGCCAAAGAAGCCACTTCGGTTTACCAAGAGCTGAGTAAGTCGGAGCCAGCGAGCAACTGAAGGGCCCCCAGGAGCAAGGCCAGCTCAGCCTTCGGAGCCAGTGGTGGGGTGCAGATTTTTTAACAACCGGTTCTCTGGCTGGGTGGGCATGGCCGGTGGGTCATGTGACTGGGTAGGGGATGTCACTCATCACACCCAGCCCTGCCTCCTGGCCAATCATCTCAAAAGAAGAGATAGGATTCAGCCAGTTGGGGCTAATCCCGCCACTGGCTGGCTCTGGCCCCACCCATTTTTCGGCCTGTTTTTAGGGCCATTTTTCAAACTGTTTTGGGGGCATTTTCAGGGTGTTTTCAGGCCATTTCCTGGGCTGAAAATGGCCGAAAAATGGGCAGGGGAAGGGGGCAGCCAGTGGTGGGATTTGCCAGTTCACCAAACTGCACCTAATCTTAACTACCGGTCCACCAGAACCAGTGCAAACCGGCAGCAGCCCACCTCTGTTCAGCCCTATCCAGCTGGGCTCTGCAAGTGCTGAAGGACAAGGACTCTTTCCTTTTTTTTGGGGGGGGGGGGGGGGGGGGGGGGGAGGGAGTTTGTGTGTTTTTGGGGGGGGGGGGGGGGGTCTGGGGAGATGAGCAACTTAGAGCTCCTTAGGTAAAGGGGTCTTTGGGGCTGGCTGATTCCCCCCATTTTTGACAAGCAGGGGGGGCTTTTGATTTTTCTGGAGGTCTGGATTTTTCTTTAATTGCTGCCTGCGGTCAACAGATGATCCAGAAACTAACAGACCATAATATTTTAGGATTGAAAGGGGCTTGGATGCCATCCAGTCCACCCCCAAAGTGCGTCATTTTCAGGAGAAGCCAAGAACTAAAATGCCTGTGTAGCAATATTATACGGTCAAGTTCTGCAAATGCCCCCCTTTTATAAACTCGGCTAGTCCAGAACTATTATTTGCAGATATTTCTTGTGGATTCATAGAAATTTTCAGAAGAGCAGTGGTCCTGGCGTAGAAATATTGCCTAGCATTTCCATTCAGGCATTATTAGGAAATGGTAAAAAAAACATTTCCCCCTCAGGTAATTTCTGCTGTTCGTGGGCCATTTTTAAAAAAGCTTTTCTTGGTGAACAAAGGAAGGGCCATTCCTGGGGGGGGATGAAGGTCTCATCGGCGGGGTCGGTGCTGAGGCCCAGCTCCCACTTTTGTGACCCTTTTGTGTTGTCTTTAATGTGCCAGGCATTGATTCACCGGTGAAGCCCGACCCTTTGGTTGCCATGGCTCAGCCTGAGGAGGAGGAGGAAGAGGAAAACAGGGCGGCCTTGTTTGTTGGCCCGGATGAGGGAGACGTGCCCAGCGGTTCTTCCCTGAAGCAGAGCAAGAGCAGCCCCCAAGGAAGCCGGGACGCCAAGGAAACAAGCAAAGGAAGGGAGCCCCCTCCCGGGCCCTAATCTGGCTCTCCGCAGCACTGTGACCAGAGGGAAGGCTCCAAATCGCAACCTCCCGCACGCTGGCGCACTTCCTGCAGCCCCCACTCTCCCTCTCTCCCTCCTCTCCCTCCCTCCCTCCCTCCCCTCTTTCTCCCTTCCTCTCCTTCTCCCTCCCTCTCTCCCTCCCTCTCTTCCTCCCTCTCTATATCCCTCCCTCTCCCTTCCTCTCCCTCTCCCTTCCTCTCTTCCTCCCTCTATATCCCTCCCTCTCCCTCCCTCCCTCTCTTCCTCCCTCTCTATATCGCCCCCTCTCCCTTCCTCTCTCTCTTCCTCCCTCTCCCTCCCTTCCTCTCCCTCCCTCTCTCCCTCCCTCCCTCTCTATATCCCTCCCTCTCCCTCTCCCTTCCTCTCCCTCCCTCTCTTCTTCCCTCTCTATATCCCTCCCTCTCCCTTCCTCTCTCTCCTTCCTTCTCCTCCTTCCTTCTCCCTCTCCCTTCCTCTCTCTCTCCCTTCCTCTCTTCCTCCCTCTCTATATCCCTCCCACTCCCTCTCCCTTCCTCTCTACCTCCCTCCCTCTCTTCCTCCCTCCCTCTACCTCTCCCTCCCTCTCCTCCCTCCTTCTCCCTCTCCCTTCCTCTCTCTCTCTCTCCCTCCCACCCTCTCTAGCTCCCTCCCTCTCCCTTCCTCCTCCTCTCTCTCACCAACCCTCTCACCATCCCTCCCTCCTCTTTCTCCTTCCCCCTTTCCCTCTCTTGCCATCCCCACCTCTCTCCCTCTCCCCTCTTTATTTTAGTGAAGGTACAAATCGGCCACATCCTTCAGCCCAGGAAATACCCCAAGGGTTCAAGTGATGCTCCTTTCAAGAACCTTTTTAAACAAAGCCATCTTTAACTCTTACCTTTCTCCCAGCCAGCCTCCCCTTGGCTTCATGGAGGAACAGTCTTCAATTCTTTCCCTAAAGCCTCTCTCAGCATTAACTGGAGCAGGAACTCTTCCCGGGGTCAGGGGTCAGGGGGGTGGGCTCTGAACCCAGACTGATGGCTTTGCCCGCTTAGGCATGGCTCTACTTCCTTTGGCCTGGGCAATGGAGGCCAGGAGAGCCACGGAGGCCCTTCCCTTTTCTCTACTGCTGCTGCCATTCCTTCCTGCTGCGGTGGTGGATTGGTCCCTTGTGCAATGCCTTGGAGTGGGCAGCTCATATGCCAGGGGTTCCTGACCCACCACCATCTGTGGGGACAGGCAGCCCATGAGAGGAAAGCAGGCTCATTTTGCAAAGGCCTCCTGCAGAGCTGATCAGGAGCACCAAACATTGGGGTTGAGCTCACCTGGCAAATGAACGTCTACACGGCTTCGTCTTCTGATCCATTATCTCAAAGATCCTCCAGTTTAATGAGTGTGTGGATCTCTCGGAGCTGCTAGTATGCTAGGCTGGATCTACCCCGTTTCCCCGAAAAGACAAAAGTAAGACCTAGCTTGATTTTTTTGCACATGTGCCCACTATGAGCCCTACCCCCCAAAATAAGCCCTAATTAAGATCCCACCCACTCCAGGGCGCACAGGTAAAAATTAAGCTAGGGTGGGGGTGTGTGGAGCTGCCTTTCTACTTACGTCTGGACAGTTGTAGCCAGGCCTCGCACATCCCAACACCTGCCTTGCCCACCCATTTGTTCTTCAGCCAGCAAGGCTGCCAAGGCTCTCCTGAAGACCTGTGGAGCTGATAACAAAACTCCGGATCGATCCAGAGCTCTCTTATCGGCTGCAGAGGCCTTCAGGAAAGCCTTGCGGGCTGCAGAAGAAGTTCCTGAAGGCTTCTGACAGTGAAAAGGAGGCCAAGGGTGACGCACGCAAGTGAGGTTAGTTAGTGGATGACATCCCCTGAAAATAAGACCTGGTGCTTTTTTTTGGTGGCAAACAATATATAGGACAGGGTCTTATTTTCGAGGAAACATGGTACTTAAACAGGACAAGCTGTTCACACCATGAATATGGAGGGATGGAAGAGCTAATTGGCAAAGCTCATTTCAGAAGCCCCCTCCTTGGTTTTTAAAGTTTTCCCTACATTTGTCAAAGCCCCCCTCCCATCTGAATTAAATTCTTGCAAGCTAAAGTATGTAGCAATTTTAGCTAAAATACTAAGGTCCCTCTGAATAATTTCCACAGCCAGTAGTAGAAAATGAGATGGATTTTGTATTAGGAAGAAGTGGATGCTGTGTTCTAAACAGAACCGAAACAGATAATTTACGTTTAAATAATATCAGAGCTTTTATTCTCCTGACTGGAACCGGTACAAACATAAAGGTACTTCTCTCAAATGTCTTTTTTTTTTAAGGTCTCTTAATTTCCACAAGTTTGACTTTATCAGAGAAACAGCTCTTGGTTGGTTACGGACCACATATATGTGGAACAAAGAAAAACAAGGACTTTAGATGTTAGTAGTTCATGGCTGTTCATCAAGTTGTATTTTCTGTATGTATTTTTATTTTTATTTTGTCATGTGTGAGATGAATTACATTATGTGGAGGTTCCTGTTTAACTTTTTTAAGTAGTGTGTTTTTTAAAAAATAAATAAAGGATTTGTAGCAAAATGATAAAGGAAATGTCATCTGAGATTAATGCTCCCAAAATGAGTAGCAGAATCCATTTTAAACTTCAAAGCCCTCTGTTAACAATCTATTATTGTGTTTAATGTGTAGAAAGTCCATAATGGTGTCTAATCTCCCATAAACCACCACCATAATTATCTCTGCTCCTTCCAAAATTTCCCCAGCAATTGTATCTCATTCCCCAAATCCTAAATTGTGCTGCCATGACTTTTGACTATAATTCTGGGCCCAGTTAAAATCTCCCGTCTTTCTTATTTTTATAAATAACCCAAGGCAGTGACCATGATCTAGTCCTCCTCCAATTTTCCTCATAACGGCAACCCATGAGGTGGATTGGCCAGGGAGAGAGAGAGAGAAAGAGACTGACCTAAAGTTTCATGTCTCCGGTTGGACTTTCATCGTCTCTAGCATTGATGCCTTCACTACTAGACCAAACTGCCTCTGTTAGTTGTTAATCTATATATATAAAAACTCAAGTACCGCTCACTCATCATGAAATCTCCAGAACCGTAAAGCCTACAAACTTGAAATTTGGCACGTATGTTTCTCTTGGCTTCTAGGTGGTCGCTAAGAAAGGATTCTTTGAAATGATCATCAGATCACTAGTATTTCTTAATACAGCAATTAACATGCTCTGATGCTAAAGAGTTCTACTCCCCCTCCCCACCTGAAAACTGTTCCAACTGCCAGTTGCCTCACATTCCGTTACCTCAGTTCAAACCGGCAGACATTCCACTCCTTTGCTCATCACTCCTTTGCTCAGGATCGGCCTGAGGCTCCTTACAGTACTAAACGTCGGTACCTCACCAAAATGTCTACGCCTTCCACCTAAGGAGCTGCTTTCGGACTCAAGGTGGCGGGAGCAATACTCCCTTATGTGTTTCAATCATCGACCACCACTGATTCAACGGATTGTGAACTGGATTTCTCCTGCATAGCCCGATCACATAGTGTCGTCCCGAAGCACGGGTATCCAGCTAATTTTCCATAAGTCAGCCCAGCCTCCACCCAAGGTAGCTTAGGAATGCCTATGAAAGGAAGAACATGTAGTAAGACTGCTAAAAGAGATAATGCATGAAGATTCAAGCCAGAGCATGTTCTCTTTGTAGGAAATCCCTGGCATTTGAGTGGCAGATTCAAAGTTATCAGTTTGTGCCTCAACTTCTAAGTCGGGGTAACAGATAACATATTATCAAGAGTTGGAAAGGACCTTGTAGGTCATCTAGTCCAATCCCCTGCCCAAGCAGGAGACCCTACACCATTTCTGAGTGGGTGGGCAACTATGGGCCCTTTATGACCTGTGGACTTCAATTCCCAGCCATAGTTACTCACCCCTGCTCTAGGTGTTAAATGTATGCTTTGGCCCAGGGACCTACTAATTATGAGACTTTGCTACCATACAGTTCCCCAGTTCTTTACAAAGCAATGTGAAGCCAACCTGTTGTTGTGGTTCTCCGGCAGTAAGTGTGGATGGCTGGGGTCTCGGAGAGCGAGAACTCAGATGAGGGGCTTGCGTGTGATGCAGGGATGGGGCCAGGACCATCAGGGAGTGGAATGCTGCCTTCGGAGCTTGTAGAGGATGGCAGCAGTGATGAAGAGGTTCCCGAGGAGCCCGTGCCCAGTGTGCATGCACACAGGCTGCTCGAAGGAAAGGGCAGCTGCAGCAGCATGGGCAACTCTGGAGTAAGTCTGCAAGTTAATGGCCCCTCTCTTAAGAGATAAAAGCCAGCTGAGAAACCGGAGTTCTTTGCAGGAAGCAAAGAAATTTTTGCACTCAAGCCTTGTGAACATTCGGGATATCTTGGTTGGTGTTTGGAGACTCTTTGTATTTGAAATATTTCTTGGCAACTTTATCTAGTGTTCTTGGCAGCCTTGCACAAGCTTGTCTTATCAGAGACAATTAGTTTGAAACAGCCTTTTAACCGTGAAGGAACAGAATTCGTAAAGAATCATTAAAAAGTTTTGCTGTTACCTCCATTTTGTGTTTGTTTCCTTGGAACAAGGTTTGGGTCAGAACACCTGTTTTAGATTACAAATTGCAGATTATCAGAGTTGGAAGGGACCTTGTAGGTCATCTAGTCCAACCCAATTCTTCCAGTCCTGAAATATTGAGAATAGACAGCAGATACCAACAATCAGGGCAACAATCTGAACATTACAAGAGCCCAAAAGAATAAAATATTGTCCAGGAGCAATAAAAAAATCTCATACTCGTCTTCCTGCCACCTCGGTTATCCATTTTTTTTCCCCCAGTTCATGTCATTTGGGTCGTTTTCCAAAAATATTCTAATGGTTGTTATGGGGGATGTCGGCTGCAAAGACACTGTTATTCCATTGCCCTTCAGTCTGCACTGAATGCTTTCATAGGTTTGTACAACTAATGCTTTTGCCAACAAAAGTTGCATACATCCAGTGCCACTGAGAATTCTGCAGATCTTCAGCCTTGGTTTTTGTTATTGCAAAAGAGCAGCCTTGGAGATCTGTTCT